CCATGTACCACTGGTAATCATATCTGTTCATAACCATCTGTCTCTTGTAATGTTAATCAATTATGTCACACGTGAATCCAAATGATCCTATAATTCTAAACTATCTAGTATCTTCTCTGTATCAGGTTTCTAGAACTATCTCTTGTTTGTAAAGGCATGAGATACTGCGCAATAAAGTAACCTCGATTTTACGATGCCCATGGGCTGGAGAAAATAAAAAATACTAGCTGTACTTGAACTGACGTGCCCTATCAAACAAAGAGTGAAAGTAGTCGCTTTATAGAACTTATAGATGATATTAGAAGGTCACCTGTCTAAATGATTAATGAGTTTAGGATGTAGAGACAGGGGATGCAATCGACAGGGGATGCAATCGACAGGTGATGCAATCGACATGCGATACGGGAATTCAAAGGTAAGGACATAGATTGTACACTAGACAGACACACTAGAACTTAACAGACTCGGTTAGTAAGTAAGATAACAAGATTCTCTACATACTAGACACAAGTATAAACAGTGGTTAGGAAACCACTTCAACAACGTTTAGATTGAGACCCATACTCTCGATAATTAACGAGAGTGAACTTGTCACACAGAGCTTCATAGAAGAGACGCCGCTTAATAAAAGAAACGCCACAAGTTAGCCAGGACTTTCAGCCTTAGAGATGTAGATTCGAGGAAAACAATGACAAAACACGAAGAATACAACCCTAAACTTACTTTGCAGATCCAAATTTATAAACTGATGTCTACAATAGACAACAAAAACAAGAAACACAAGCTACTTAGAGTAGTTGTTCCCAAATTTTCTTGGCTCACCGACGCATTTTTAATTAAAACGTCAACCCCCCCCCCCCCCCCCCCCCCCCCCCCCCCCCCCCCCGGAAATATAATCATCTTCATGTATCGTACCAGTCTGTGGATAAGTGGGTGTTGCCTGGAGCTGTCAGACATAACAATTTATCTAAAGGCATAAGACTTTCGATTTTTTAATATATATCAGTCATTTTACTCTTTTGGGACTAGTTTGGAGGAGACTGAGGCACAGATGAATCTGTCCAGAGTGCTGGGATTAGATTTACTAATCACAACAGAAAAAACAACAAGACTAGGGTTCATACTTGCGTAGGGAAAACATCTGGTTGAAGAGGGAAGAGCAGTTGTATGTAGGAAGCTGCAAACAAGAAGATAAAATCTAAGCCAACTACATCAAACTGTCAAATGCAGAACGGACTGCTGAATGTATATCGCAGACACCCCAAGTGACGAAGAACATTTAGAAAACTGCTCCCGAAAATCGAATTATCATAAATCGGAGGAAAAGAGAGACACGCGCACACACAAACTCAATAATGTTGGTGGGGGAGAGGTGATACGAAAGTTAGCACAGTGTGACGTTAATAGCAGACTTAAATCAGCCAACATTTTAGTCTAATATTTCGACAATTTTGTTCAACAAATTGAGGGCAAAGATATCTATGACTCGAAATGAACTGGAAAACATTGTTTTGAAAAAACACAGAGTGCCATGCTTAGCTACAGGTCCTATCAAAAAAACATATAGACGGATGGATTGATGGATATAAACAGACAGAGTTGTAAAGAAAGGTAAAGCAACAATAACATACACGTTTAATGTATGGATGTTGACTTGGTGGGTCGAAAGATGGCAAGCAAATAAACTAGACAAACACCTAGCTAAATAAACAAGACGCACAGAGACAGACTGAATGAGTGGCTGATAGGCAGACTGAAAGATAAAGAGACGACAAACAGACCAGCAACTAGTTGATGTACGTTAGTAATACATTTGATGGTACTAAGGAGATAGCATCACGTCAATCTACACTGACAGAAACAGTACCAGAATGGAAATGTAATCATGCATTCTAAATAAGTAATAGCACCGGCTCCACCAATCAAGCGCATTACTGCTATTGTGTTTCTTCCGCTGGTGATGAGCTGATAAGTTTGAAAGTAACAGACATAGAAACTGAACCATTTCCGATCAGTTCCTGTGCTGTTTCATGCACTGGCAAGACTACAATTGTCACTACCTAACATCACATTATACTGATGCTGGCTACAGGATATACTGATAGTCTAGGTGATAAATGATTTCACGGACTGAGTAATCAGAAGGATACTGTACTGTTGAGGAAATCACAGTGGGGCGTTGCGGTGTAGTCGGTGGGGTGTGTCAGGCTATAAATGATCGGAACCAGCAGTAGTCCAGGCATGCCAAGATGTACTCATGTCTGTTTGTGACCAGGATTTGGTTCTGCGTGTGTTTAGTTGGTAAGTTTGACAAACAATTGACTGCGAATCTTTTATAGTATTTACTCGTGATGTTAATGTTTTATTTCACTGGTTGTTCAATAAAAAAAAAATTTTTGACAGCAGTCGAGCAGATATCAAGAGACATTAATATTTCAACAACAAAAACACACACACATACACAAAACATAACATGGGACCCTACCCACACACATACACAAAACATAACATGGGACCCTTCCCACACACATACACAAAACATAACATGGTACCCTACACACACACACACACACACACACACACACACACACACACACACACAAAACATAACATAACATGGGACCCTACTCACACACACATACACAAAACATAATATGGGATCCTACCCACACATATTCACAAAACATAACATGGGACCCTTCCCACACACATACACAAAACATAACATGGGACCCTACCCACACATATACATAAAACATACCACGGGACCTTACCCCTACTCCCAACACATATAGCAGTGTGCTGCGGATAACATTGCAAGTTCTGCGTGGCTGAAAAGACTTGTTCTGGTAGGTGTGAGGTGCCTCTGGTACCTGTCTATGCATATCTTTACTCTTAATTCTCGCATTCTTAGCAACGATGTGGACATACTGCCCATACAATCCTCAGATCATCCTCTCTCTCTCTCTCTCTCTCTCTCTCTCTCTCTCTCTCTCTCTCTCTCTCTCTCTCTCTCTCTCTCTCTCTCTCTCTCTCTCTCTCTCTCTCTCTCTCTCTCTCTCCCTCTCTCTCCCCCCTCTCTCTCTCCCTCCCTCCCTCTCTCTCCCCCCCTCTCTATCCCCCTCTCCCTCTCTCTCTCTCTCTCTCTCTCTCTCTCTCTCTCTCTCTCTCTCTCTCTCTCTCTCTCTCTCTCTCTCTCTCCCTCCCTCCTGTCATTACCAATGCTGGCACAATCCAAAGGCCTGCAATCCAGCCAGATGAAAGTTTGTGTTATTGCCATCAAAGTTTACATTACCCACCTTTACTGTTTCTATTTTACCCAATACCTTTGTATATGACCTTCTTGGTCATTTATGTTAGCATATGATTTATGTTGTTTTATTTGTTGATAACAACATGTGTCGACACGTTCGGCTGTTTCTAAATGACTTCTGTCCTTTCCCTACTTTAAGAGTCATAGTTTGCTTTGTGTTAAATGACTTCTTGCGCAATTACGTTTTCCCAGTAAGTAGAAATGACGTCAACTGGATGAAGGAAAGCTTAAGTGCATGACTTTTTCTGCGCTACCTGGCATGACCTCTGTCAGCATTCATCTGTGTCATTACGTGAAAAGTAAAACACAGACACGGCCACGTGAAATCAAATTGTTGCTACACAATGGGACAACAACATGAAAGAATAATAATATATATATATATATATATATATATATATATATATATATATATATATATATATATATATATATATATATATATATATATATATATATATATATAAGATCATGTTTTCCCCATATATATATATATAAAAGATCATGTTTTCCCATATATATATATATATAAACAGATCATGTTTTCCCCATATATATATACATATATAAAAGATCATGTTCTTCCATATATATATATATATATATATATATATATATATATATATATATATATATATATATATATATATATATATATATATATATATAAAAGATCGTGTTTTCCTATCACACATCACATAGATGTCGCTGTCTAATCCACCATTCCCTTCTCTTTTCGATATCATGGATGGAATCCAGTGGAGCGTCTTTAGCTTGTCCTAACAAAGTCTGCCTCACGGTCTTTCTTGGATGTTGTTGGCCCCACTGTCCAACTGTGGTTATTAATAATAAAACGCAGAAGACATAACAAAACTGCAGTATAAGTCTGCTTTAAAAAACTCAAGATCTGCAACGAGTTACAAATCGTCCTTGTCTATAATGCTGAATTCTTCAGATTAACAGACCTAGGACAGCACATCTATGGCGGTGATATAGATCAAACGGAGGTTGCAAGGCCACTCGTTCAGCGAGTCACACAGAAGTGCATACACATATGTGACAGATATGTCTCATCCATCATCACTGGGACTACCTTCATTCTGCACATTATTACCATCGGGATGCGGTCATTAAACTGACTGTCCTACTTTAAGTACAGCCGGCGACGTATTCATGGCTGCCTGTCCAGGTTGACGCCAGCTCTGCACACGAAATGCCTTACATTCACTACCACAATTCTTCTTCTTAGCGTTCACCGGCTGTAAATTCCGGCGGAAAGTTTCGGTTGCTCGTACTAAAAAGCCTTATTTAAGATTTTTAATTATGCGTGCAGATCTGTTTAACAAGTGTGGCTTAACTGTATGTTGGTTCCTCGCTGCCCAGACAGACGATCTCCAACTTTGAAGGACAAATCCCTAATTGGTCGCCTTTTACGAAATGCCTGTTAGGGATCCCGTGGATCTACCCCCCCCCCCCCCCCATACCCCACTCCCCCTCCCTAAATGGGATTCTATAACGCATACGGGAATATCAGTAATACATTCTGTGCTCCCCGTCAACTCAAGCGAGACAATTTTACATACAAGACAATAAAATAACGTAAACTTTACTTTAACAGATAAAACCCACTATTTCTGCTAATACTTAGTACATGAAAAAAAATGTGATGTCTTGCATTTATTTCCAGGAATAACAACAAGCCAAGCGGCCGACTGGAGTTATTCTGGCTCAGCAGGTGGGTACAGCAAACCGTCAAACAACATTCAACAGTGCAGAACAAATATTAAAACAATAACAAGGAAATAAGCCAATAGTGCTACTATACTCAGCAGTGCGCACTTTTTCTTCTTTTTCCTTTCTCTACTTCTGGAATGCCTTGCGGCGTCAGGACAGGAAGAGATCTCTGGAAGTGTCCTTCTGTTTGCTTCATATAAAGTACTTTTCAGTGTCTGATATATCTGCGGTCCATCCTTTCCTTCTGGTCAGTTCGTGAGATCTCTTCCTTTTCTACGAGCATTAAGTAATTATCATCATCATCAGGTGCCTTGCCGACTGGCGTGGGTGATCATGCCTCTCCAAAATCCCCGATCTTCTGCAGCATGTATAGGTTCGTGTGCCGACACACCTCCAGGCCATGCAACAAGACTGTCAAGAATCTTCTCTCATTGTCTTCCTCTAACCCTCCTTCCACAGATCTTCCCAGTGGTCACAACATGTTCTATTTTCCCTCTTCTCATAACATTAAGTAATGCACACTAATAATAACAAACAATGTGTTTAATGTTCCTTGTCCGAGCCTTCAGCGTATTGAGTATATGATAAACATTAAAAGCCCCGACTAGATTCCGTGCGGTGTGTTGGGCACACTGTCAACGTATTAAAAAGTAAAAGTAAAGGACTCATTTTCACACCTAAAGGCGTAGTGGGCTATGCCTGCCTATATAACCACCATTACTGCCTGTATTTATCATAGCGGTGAAGGCTGGCTGGTCGACAGCATCTTTCCCCTGTGGAAGATTGGCTATTCAACAGCATCTTTCCCCTGTGGAAGATTGGCTAGTCAACAGCATATTTCCCCTGTGGAAGATTAGCTAGTCAACAGTATCTTTTCCATGTGGAAGATTGGCTAGTCAACAGTATCTTTTCCCTGTGGAAGATTGGCTAGTCAACAGCATCTTTCCCCTGTGGAAGATTGGCTAGTCAACATTATCTTTTCCCTGTGAAAGTTAAGAGTTAACGACCACAGGGTTAGTGCTGTCGTCACGGACTGTGCATGTTAGAATTTTATGTTTGCCCCCAACAGAAAAAATCACCACCCTCACCAAAGATTCAAACCCGGGTCTCCCTCAGGAGAGCCTGCGTTCTAAACTATAGGACCAGCAGCTTCTCTGGACAAACTGTGCCAGTTCTATATTTTTAGACTAATCTTAACTGCGCAGCCGGACAGGTCATAGGACAGACAAAAGAAACCTTGGGTGAAAAAAGGCGAGGGGTGGGGGTGATTTGTGCAGCCGACATAGATCTTGTTTAACTGTTACAATCTCAAACTGTTGTTTAAAAAAAAAATTAGTAATACCGGCTTTAGTAACGAGGAGCGGCGTCCGTGGTCTGGGCGTTGAGAGCGGATTCGTAATTCCAACGAACAGCGATCGAAACCCACTGCTGGCTGCGTGGATTTTTATCATGGAATGATAAAATGGGTACCAGGATGGTTGTCCTTGGGAAGTAAAGAAGGCTGGCGTAATGCTGACAATCTTACCCACCTAGTACCGATTGGTATGTAAAAATATGGGATGCTCTTCCCGCATACGCCTAAGGCGTAAAAAGGGATCTTTACTTAGTAACGAGAAGCTAACATACCTACTGAGCTAAATGATTTTAAGCAACAGCTAACTGATATGGGGGAGCTGCCATTGTGTAGTGTATACGTTAGCCTGCAGATCGGAAGGCCGTAGGTTCGAATCCGAATAGAGCCAGACATTTTTTTTCTTAAAAAAATCACCTTGGTTCCCCAGGTAGACCTAGCCTTAAAGAGTCACCAGGTAAAGTCATGGGAAGTAAAGTCCGTCGGTGTGATGCTGACCATATCACCCACCGTGTGCCGATTGGTCTATAAAATATATACCAAATAAAGGCTGGAAGGCGTGGAAAAGAGTCGTTTACTTTTTAGTTTACCTGAAGTGAGTGAAAAATATTCTTTCCAAAATCATGAGTTGTAAGCCCTTTGGCTCGGTACTGTGGAAATCGCAACCTTCATTCAGCCTTTATTACATGATAGACACCGAGAATCTAGGAGATATGTGGCTTTTCTGTCTACCCACGGGGCGTTAACCCGGATCACAAGGAGTTCGTCACCCGGTCGCCGCACATATGTTTTAACCAACTGAGCTAGCGCGCCGGGCAAAGTTGTTATCGAAAAACCCTGTAAGGTAGAGGTTAAACAAAATTGTGTATATGCAGAAATGAAAAGACAGAACAGATTATGAATCTTGTGGGAAGACAATGATACATGCGGTAGACCACAAGGAGACATTTTCATGTCTGCACTCTTGTAATGTCAAAATTCCGTGCAGCGGTCACAGAAACAAGGAAGTGGCACAACAGACAGGCTTATTAATGAGACCTCTGTTAAGGCAAGACATATTCATTACAGACCATTGCGTCTGGAAGCCATCGCAGTGGAGTGGGCGTGGGTATCACATTTGCTTGCTGGCGCTGTAGGCCCGTGTTTGAATCCCTATTTAGCCGGGTATTTCTTCTTCCTACTGAAAGGGGATGTCAGCATCGGAACGGGCGTCCTAGTGACTGCATCAATCGAGAGTATTGATTTGTCTAAAACAATAAAAGACTATTTTCAAAGCAGGCCGGGATAGGGGCAGAAGAAAAAAAATGATTACAACTGGGGGTATGATCCACGATATTCTCCCCACGGTACACACTAGTCGGCCTCCAGTCATATGACCCTCGCACACTGCTAGGGGTAGTTCAGCAATCCGTTCATATCGCGTGTTGTATATTTAAGCACGCCAGCGCTTCTAACACTACAAAAACATTTACAAACTGGGTCTAACCCACAACCACCCTAGCAAGTGCTGCAACCTATGGTCTCAGGCATGTTTTTTTTTTTTTTTTAAAGAAAAACGTAAATGCAAGACAAGCTAGCCACCCCCCCCCCCCCTCTCCCCCTTTTTCCGGGACAGTAGGCGAGTCTAAAAAAAAGAATCTATTCCTGGAACACGACCTAGTTTGGCAGGGAAGCTTATCGTGGATCTCACCAGACAGGGAGGGCTAACCTGATCAAGAAATTCTTGTACAAGTGTGCCCTAAGGGTATGGATATCTGTAAACGGGCACAACGCAATTACATCTTCGGATGAACGCAGAAGACATAAAAAATTATAATTATAAAAAATAATAAGCAACAGTTTTGCAAATAGGCGGAAATGTTTACAAAAATAAGTGACAGTAAACGACAGCTTTACGGCTTTGAAATAATGATAACGGCTTGACCAAAAACTCATAAGGAATTGTTTTACCAGAATAATCCACTCGTATACGCCCCCACCCCCTTTTTTTCAAATAAAAAATAAGTGACATATTTACGAAAAGAAAAAGAAAAAAAAAAAGGAAAATAACAAATAACAAATAAAAGGTTATATCTGTTCAAAGAATCCGCGCAAGTTTAGAAAATGAAACAACTGCTTTATAAATTTAAGTGATAACTTTAATAACAGCGGCCGTTGGGGTGCTAGAACATTCGTGTTAATTTCTCCCACCATGTAGATAAATACATAACACATGCGAATATGTAAGTACTATCATGCTAAATGATGCATCCTTCTCAATAATGCCCTCGTATATTTTCGCATATCAGGATAGTTAAGGGAACAACAATAGGCAGATTAATAAAAATGAGTTCGTGAGAACAGAAAGCTTAGGATTAAAACAAAAACTCTTGTCTATCAGGCGTATCTTCTTAACACTCTGCTCGATGCCAGTGAAACTTAATCAACTTATTCGCACCAGGAGAAACGGCTAAATGGCTTTTATATGCCATGCCAAGAAGAATATTTGGCATTAAGTGGCAGGACAAACTCATAAACATTTAGGTAATGGAAAGAGCAGGTATTACAACAGTCTTCTCAATGCTAACTCTACGATGGCTCAGATGGCTGGGTCGCATCTGGAGAATGGAGGATGGCGGAGTCCCTAAGGACATCCTCTATGTTGAATTAAAGACCGATTGAGGCCGACCTCTTCTACGAAATGAAGATGTGTGAAAGATTGAAAAAAAATGATAGAGGTACTGAGGTAGACTCATGGGAACACAATGCCATGGTCCGTGTTGTGTGGATGGGGCACATCAGGGAGGGAATGAATGAAGGAAGAAATTATAACAGAAAGGATTAGAGCTGAGGATCTAAGAAGAAACAGGCTAAACACACATGCTGACAACAACGGTTCTAAAATTCCATGCTAACATTTTGGAAGGCTTCTTTACGTGTCCTGCTATTGACACTCGCCATCGCCAAGGGCTGTGAGTCCCATGCCTCTTCATATCGCAATTTAACATTACTGTCTGGAAAGACAGAAAGGTACCAATCACAGTTTCGCATACTCTCCATGTCTTTGGTTGTGCTGTTTCTGCAAAATACCCTACTTTCGTGTATTAATTTGCTCCTTCACAAACTCCACATTTTTGCATTGCAAGCAGGCTTACATAAATGCCACTGTGCAGGTAGAGAGAGCGAAGGGTAAGCAGACAGACAGACCGACTTGCAGGTAGGTAGACTGAGTGACAGATAGGAAGACAGGCAAAGGAACAGATGGGTTGAATGAGACAGGCGCGCTAACAGACAAATAGGCGGACAGACATAAACATAGGTGGTCTCTGACACCAGAAAGATAGACGTGTTGACATACAGACAAGGAAACACAGACACACATGAAGACATTCTGGTTGACAAAGACAGACAGCCAGACAGGTAGACATAGACAGAGAGGCAGATACACAGACAGAAGGGTTGACATACGGAAAGACAGACTGGTGAATATCTAGGCGGAAAGACAGACCAGCAGGCAGACAGACGGGATATTTGCGGGTGGACAAACAGACCGGAGGAGACACAAGTGGGCAGACAGCGAGAAGGACAGACAAGCTACATAAACATTAACTTTCTGACCGCTATTAGTAACCACATATCTACACACAGGTCCCCTTTACTGGCATGAACTCTTCCCCGAAGACTGTTCCGGAAAATACCAATCCCCAATCGACATTCATCCCGAGGAGACTGTCTACAACCCAGAACTGAAGGATTTCGCCATCTGGTATGATCCACCAAAGAAAGATTCAAAGATGTACATCAGGAACAATGGTCACACCGGTATAGTATATTTTATTCTAGACGTTAAACCAAAAGTAGCTATTTAATGCACACTGTAACAGCGGTTATAACGCTTCATAATGCCGGGATGCCGGGTTCGATCCGAGCTGCGGGCCATGCGCCTTGCGTTGGTTTCGACAGTGGTATCAAGAAAGCCGACCGTCCAGCGTCCAGAAGCAATGGCAAACTACTGGACGTAAATTTGCCTAGAAAGACCACACAACAGCCGAGGGCTGTTGGGGTTGGTTCTGCAACGTCCTGTAAAGGATACGCAACTAACCAAAAGCAGTTAAACAGTTGGGGTCGGGGTGCTAGGGCAAGGAAGTTTCAAGGTAGGCGTTTAATTTTAAAATTGAGTTTATACTTACTTCTAATAAACTATTTTAATAACTTTTTTTTGAAGTTTAACAAAAAAAATTTTTTTAATATTTACGAAACAAAGAAAAGGATATATTTATTTTCATGAGTAGTTTTTACAGCTTGTGAGCACGTTATCTTGAAATGTGGCCGAATGAGCTAGAAATGTTCATAAGCCATTTCCCCCACATGCCTTTGTGAATGCAGATTTTCAGCTTTAGCAGTCATAAAAGCAAAACAGCAGTGTCAGCTGGATGCCTTGTCCAACATCAGACCAAAAACAGCAGATGGCACTAAGACTTCGCCTTCTTCGCGTTCATCGACTGTAAACTCCCGCGGAAAGTTCTGGTTGTTGGTCCACTTGTGGACTTTAGTCTTGTTCCAGAACTTGAGTTTTTCGTACACCTCCATTTTACAAGGGGGGGGGGGGGAAGTAAAACCGTTTCAACTACAAACCATTGCATTATATAGTGGTTTAGTTTTGTGCTATTACCCTTGGTGTTGTGATGTAAAGTACACGTGGACAGCAATCACAGAAACATATCTCACTTTCAGGCTATGAGGCATCATGGACTGAGCAATATTAGATAGGAACTCCTATCAATATAGTGCCGACCCCTTTTACATTTTGTGGTACCTGTTAGTCTGGGCCGTACTGGAAGCTCGCGTCAATGGAAAACTGGAGTGCAGTGGTCCGTGTTAAATCGTAGCATTGACTGCATTTCCGTTCTCAAAACCATACGGCTGTGAGGTCGACTCTGCCTTGATTTAATAACCGACACTAGAACACCCGGAAAATTCACATAAGCGCACTGTCCTAATCTTCGGCAGACAGCATATATTTATATATATATATATATATATATATATATATATATATATATATATATATATATATATATATATATATATAGATGTGTGTGTATAAACACTTCAATGATCTTGTATTTTCCCATTATTTTGAGCCATCTATGTATATTAACTGTTTTTGTCTTCACCCAGTGAAGCACTATGAAACACGAAATATTTTAAATAAATTAATCTTTTTTAATTCTTCTATGTTTTTGTTTCAGTTCAGGTAGACCTTGAAGGTGACTTTTATGTAAGTAATGCAGGGCTTTCCAGCGTGTACAAAGCAGTGCAGTTCCACTTTCACTGGGGACACAAGGCCCATCATGGCTCTGAACATCTTATTGACGGGAAGCCTAGTCCAATCGAGGTATTCATTCACATCACAGGCCAAAATTAGTAGAATGGAATTTCTGAAACTAATTGCCCTCTACCAACAAGAAAATCAAATAGGAAGACCAGGAGGGAGGGAGACGGGCAATAGTTAACATAACATATAAAATGTATCTAAGTAGCAAATATATTACATTATAGAAACTTTAAAATACAAAGAGAAATACAGGGATGAAGATAACTCATTCACACAGAAACATTCTAAATTAACAAGAAGGAAAGCTGATACAAGGTAAACAATCGGGAAGAAAATCAGAGGATGACAAACACAAAGTGTAATTAGGACAATAAAAGACTAGCACATAGCTCATGCATATTGTTAGAGTTTGTCTCATACTTTTATTTCCAATATTTTTATTGGCTGAAACAAACTTCTCAATTATCAAAATCTAATTTTATTCTATCTGGCATGAAACTTCTTCACAGTTACAACATGTATTTGTTCATGTGGTCGTGTAGTCTACAGCGTGTCATTTCTCATATGTATCTTCTTCTGCCTTTCTATCCCCACATGGAGCATAGGCCCTCAACCAACTTACACCTAGTCGTTTCAATTTAACTTACCCATGCTTGGTTGGTTTTTGTGGCTATTGTTTTTACAGGATGAGGTAGCCAACCTCAAGCCCAACTGCTTAGTCGCCTCTTACGTCATGCCTGGTAGGGTGCAGTGTTACAATTCTTTGCTTCCCTTCAGGGCCCCAGTGACACACAGGCGTCTCATAGGTATATAGTTCAACTACTGACATTTATGTGTCTTTTCATATTTTATCTACGTGTCATATATAGCAGTATTTCGTAACATTTTTACATCACATGTTTACTGATCTAGTAGCTACGTGTGGTCACATTTACATCACACGTTTATTCTTTGGTGGCTACACCTGACAGCACTTCAAGTTAGCTTAATGTCGTTATCTTTATAAATAATTGTTTGTATTCCTAATAGCTTCAACTGGTCACTTTGTGACCAGCTTTATTTCGTCACATTTAAAGCACATCATGTGCCACGTCTAGTCACACATCCGATATAGCCTAATTTGGTTAAATTTACAATCACTATAACAAAATAAACTGTATATTTTTTACACCTTCATCTGGTCACTGGTTACACCTAGCTTTATTTCGCCACATTTATAGCACATCATTGTGCCACGTCTAGTCACACATCCAATATAGCTTAATTTAGTCACATTTACAATAATCACAACATCAAAAACAACAACAACAAATGTATATGTTTGACAGCTTCATCTGGTGACTTACAACAGCCAGCTGTATCCCAGCATTTCAGAAGCCGTCATGGAGGAAGGCGGTCTGGCAGTTTTGGGAGTCATGTATGAGGTATGGCTGTCTGCTGAACATGATATGTTAATGTCGATGAGATTGTTGTTTTGAAAAATGCAGAACAGAAGCATCGCTCTGGGTCGGAGTGAGAGAGAGAGAGAGAGAGAGAGAGAGAGAGAGAGAGAGAGAGAGAGAGAGAGAGAGAGAGAGAGAGAGAGAGAGAGAGAAATAGCGAGACCCTGCAGAAGGTGGAGAAGGGAAACACGTAGGCAGAGGGGATAGTGGGTAGTGAAAAAGGGTGTGGGGAGAGGCGAGAATGAGCAGGAGGGTACAGAAAGGTGGAATGTGGAAAGAAATCAATATAAATATAATCATACAAGTAAAGGATGCCATATACAAGTAAAGGATGCCACATACTAGTAAAGGATGCCACATACAAGTAAAGGATGCCACATACAAGTAAAGGATGCCACATACAAGTAAAGGATGCCATATACTAGTAAAGGATGCCATATACTAGTAAAGGATGCCATATACAAGTAAAGGATGCCACATACAAGTAAAGGATGCCACATACAAGTAAAGGATGCCACATACAAGTAAAGGATGCCACATACTAGTAAAGGATGCCACATACAAGTAAAGGATGCCACATTCTAGTAAAGGATGCCACATACAAGTAAAGGATGCCACATACTAGTAAAGGATGCCACATACTAGTAAAGGATGCCACATACTAGTAAAGGATGCCAAATACTAGTAAAGGATGTCACATACTAGTAAAGGATGCCACATACAAGTAAAGGATGCCACATACAAGTAAAGGATGCCACATACTAGTAAAGGATGCCACATACTAGTAAAGGATGCCACATACTAGTAAAGGATGCCACATACTAGTAAAGGATGCCACATACAAGTAAAGGATGCCACACACTAGTAAAGGATGCCACACACAAGTAAAGGATGCCACACACAAGTAAAGGATGCCACACACTAGTAAAGGATGCCACATACTAGTAAAGGATGCCACATACTAGTAAAGGATGCCACATACAAGTAAAGGATGCCACATACAAGTAAAGGATGCCACACACAAGTAAAGGATGCCACACACAAGTAAAGGATGCCACACACTAGTAAAGGATGCCATATACTAGTAAAGGATGCCACATACAAGTAAAGGATACCACATACAAGTAAAGGATACCACATACTAGTAAAGGATACCACACACAAGTAAAGGATACCACATACAAGTAAAGGATGCCACATACAAGTAAAGGATGCCACATACTAGTAAAGGATACCACATACAAGTAAAGGATACCACATACAAGTAAAGGATGCCACATACAAGTAAAGGATGCCACATACTAGTAAAGGATACCACACACAAGTAAAGGATACCACATACAAGTAAGGGATGTCACATACAAGTAAAGGATACCACACACAAGTAAAGGATGCCACATACAAGTAAAGGATACCACATACAAGTAAAGGATACCACACACTAGTAAAGGATACCACACACAAGTAAAGGATACCACATACAAGTAAAGGATGTCACATACAAGTAAAGGATACCACATACTAGTAAAGGATGCCACACACAAGTAAAGGATACCACACACTAGTAAAGGATACCACACACAAGTAAAGGATACCACACACTAGTAAAGGATACCACACACAAGTAAAGGATACCACACACAAGTAAAGGATACCACACACAAGTAAAGGATACCACACACAAGTAAAGGATACCACATACAAGTAAAGGATACCACATACTAGTAAAGGATACCACACACAGGTAAAGGATACCACATGCTAGTAAAGGATACCACACACAAGTAAAGGATACCACATACTAGTAAAGGATGCCACACACAAGTAAAGGATACCACACACTAGTAAAGGATACCACATACTAGTAAAGGATACCACACACTAGTAAAGGATACCACATACTAGTAAAGGATGCCACACACAAGTAAAGGATACCACACACTAGTAAAGGATACCACACACTAGTAAAGGATACCACACACTAGTAAAGGATACCACATACTAGTAAAGGATACCACACACTAGTAAAGGATACCGCACACTAGTAAAGGATACCACACACTAGTAAAGGATACCATATACTAGTAAAGGATACCACATGCTAGTAAAGGATGCCGTTTCCATGCAATGACATATTGTAGACGAGGTGGCTGATATGGTCAACATGACGCCGACCGCCTTTACTTCCCATGAGGCATTTTAGTCTGTATCGACCTGGGAACCATGGTCAGTTTTGAACAAACCCAGTTCGATGAAGGTTTGAACCTATTACCTTTGGGCCCGAGGCGAGCGGTGGACACAAGGTATACTTTCTTTTCTCTCTTTATTTCAGACAAAACAATGTATCTAGCTGTATAAGAAAGCAGCGGTGGAACTACATCGGCCATGCACTTAGAATCAAATGATTAAGACAAGACTTCCTCATCACGCACTCATATGGACACAAGAAAGGAGTAGAAAACGGGAAGAGACTACTAGTAACCATCATCAGGGAACTCTTCACCGTGGGTATAACATCCAAGACCTAAAGCAGGTGGCAAAGAACCGCCAGACATGGAGAGCTATAACCTCTGTCCTATGCGCCGCCTTAGGCCCAAGAAGAAGGACTGATTTCAGACATAAGCTAATGGAGTAATTATGTAAGTAATCTGTGTAAATTAGATGGAATATAATATGTGGATCATAGGATAATCAAGTGTCTCATTTATATCGTCAGATTTCCGAGACTGACAACCCGAGCTTGGCAACCCTAGTGAAGGCTTTGAGACACGTCAGAGATCCTGGTACATTATTTTTTTTTTTTTTTTACTTTTTCTTGTTGAATGTCTTGTTTATTATTGTTGTTGGTGTTTTAAAATAAAGCACATTTGTAAGGGCGGTAATTGGCAGTTTCATGAAAACAGAGGAACTGAGAGAAGGTCATATGCTCTCAGATATATCTGCGATGATTCTCGCTGCCTCAACTCACAAACACCGACATCACACGTCGAGCAGAAAAAATGGACGACTGGGAAACAACACGATACTGTTCCAGTACTTTATTCTTCCACTCGCGGCTTACACAGCCGGCACATGAACTTGACAACTGTCCAGGCACACATTATAATGCAAGAATCAATTATTACCTTCAAGCAGAAATCCCAATCGATTTACACTAACATCGTAAACGAAACACAACAGCTGTCCTGACAGATACACTCAGACGACCGGCAGACATGTTACTGGCCAGCTTTCTTCGCCAAGTTGGACTGGAACAAATTCACTCAAAAACATCTGCTGAATTCACACATCATCCACCGCTGTCCATGCACACTGTTCCTGGGTCCAAAACGAGACTGCCCACAAACCTTTTCCTCGCTATTATATAGCCCTCTGATCTATCCTGTTCTAGAATATTCTGGATTCATTCTCACGAATTTCCCACTGTTGAAAGTCGTGTCTGGCCCGTGATAATTCACATTTCACATAAATCCTGTGAACAATCATGTTTCACATAAAACCTGACTTTCAGATGAAACTCAAGACATAAATCTCGTGTTATCTCAGCCAGTCAAAACATTCGTCTTACATCTATTACTGACGTCATCTATCGGGCATAAATTAATGAGGAGAAAATGACTCACTACATTCTCCCCCACCCCAAAAAAATGTTTTACATTTTCAATTAATCAGGTGTGAACATTTCACTGAACATTGTGATTCTAGACCTTTGTAGTGAATCATTTTCGACAAGTTCATTTCCAACCAAGTTCCCTTTACCTCATTTAGGTTAACAATTCAAACACTCTAAAATGCCATCTGTTGGGTCTTTGCACGACTGTGAATACCTTAATGGGATCCTCACCCCAGGCACTCCCCTTTTAGTGCGGAAGACCAATAATCTGGCTCCATAGGTATCCCCACCCAGTTCTAAAGTCGGTATACAACCGAACCCCTCTCCTGGCACCCCCCGATCGGTGCGGAAGTCCAAAATCTTGGCTCTAAAACCGAAGTGTGACCCCATGAAGTCCCACCCTCGCTATTCCCATTCATGAAAGCCCTCAACAATGGCTAAATCAGCAATGTATGGTTTTGTTCCCAAATATGTAAGGTACAAGATGTAGTTAATTACCTTGTCTTCAGAAACTACAACATGTCTCATTAAAACACATATTCAAATTAAATGCTACACCAATTCAATTTAGTATACTAGTAAATGTAACATTTTCTGGTGAGGTGTATTTTAACACTGAATGTTGTCTCCCTTTAATTGTTTACTATATTATACCCGTTCAAATCAAAACATATACATTTATCCTAGTTGTAAATTCATATAATACATTCATACAATAATACAATGCATACCCTTGTATAAAATGATTTCAGTTAGTACAGTTGTAATAGCAGTTGCAACATCTTCTACAAACGTGACATGATATCTGGTAAATGGTTGTCTGTTCCTTTGATGTGTTCAATGTTAAATTTGAATTGTGATATCAACAATGCCCATCTATATACCCTTGGATTGCTATTGGCATCAATTGTTAATAATTTTGTCAACCCCAAGTTATCTGTTAAAATAGTGAATTCTTTTCCCAAAAGAAACTTCTGAAACTTTTTTAGACTAATAACTAGTGCCAACGCTTCTCGTTCAAATGTATTGTATTTTTGTTGAGTTTGGTTAAGTTTCTGTGACATATACATTACTGGGAGTAATGTTTGTGAATGTTTCTGCGCAAGCATGCTAGCTATTGTGTGACCGCTGGCATCTGATTGTAGAAAAAATCTTTTGGAAGGGTCAGGTTGTCTCAAAATAGGATATTTTGAAAAAACAGTTTTTTATTTTAACTAGAATTTCCTCATGTGTCTCATTCCAATCTGATTTTTTCAATTGTTGATTCTTTAATAACTCTGATAGTGGTGATGTTAGTGCTGCTAAATTTGGGATGAATTTACCATAATAGTTTATTAACCCTAGTAGAGATTGGAGCTGCTTTTTTGTTTTAGGTTTTTGGATCTTCAAAATTTTCGAAACAATGTTTTCATCTGTTTGGACTAAACCTTCGCATATAACATGTCCTAAGTAATCAATTTTGGTGTATGCAATTTCAGTTTTTAAAGGATTAACTGTCAATTTTGCGTCATTTATTCTTGATAGGACTTTTTGTAGGGTAGTGCAGTGATCGTGCAATGTTTTGGTGTGTATACAGATGTCATCCATATATGCTGTGACGTGAGGAATTGCATATAACAGTTTCCTAACCATTTTTGTGAAAATTTTCGGAGCGTTTATTAATCCAAATGGTAAACGCAACCATTGTTTGAGTCCAATTGGAGTTTGAAAGCTAGTATATTTTACAGCTTCTGGTGTTAATGGTATTTGCCAGTAGCCTTTTGAAAGGTCAATTTTTGTAAAAAATTTTGAGTTATATAATTCTTGTATGATTTCATCTGACGAAGGGATGGGCTCAGTTTCTAAATAGGTAATTTGGTTTAGTTTCCTATAATCAACACACAAACGTAGTGAACCATCCTTTTTCTTTACTACCACTAAAGGCGAACTGTAGTTTGATGTGGAATCTTCAATGATTCCTTCTTGTTGTAGTTGTTGCAATTCTGATATAACGTTATCGATATAATGGATAGGTATCACATATGGTTTTGATTTCACTGGCACTGATGAATTCAACTGGATATCGTAACTGATTATGTTAGTTTTCCCAGGTTTATTTGTGAAAATATCTTTGTAATGAAAAATGATGCTCCACAATTTTGCTTTTTCATTTTCTGATAGTTCTTCATTTAACTTTATCGATTTCCAGTTGACTTCATTTTTTGTTGATGGTGTTGGAATATCTTCTTCTATAACATCAGGTAACTCTTCATTAATTACATTACATAAATTTGCATCAAGTACATCATCATCTGACATGAATAGTGATCTTCTAAAATATGGTTTAAGCATGTTTACATGAAAAATTTTTAACTTTTCATCAATTTTGATTTCATAATCAACATCAGAAATCTTTCTTGTAACAACAAAAGGACCTGACCATTCTATAGATAACTTGTCTGACTTCTTTGGTAACAGTAATAACACTTCATCACCAGGGTTATATTTCACAAGTCTTGCTATTCTATTCGCATATTGTCGCTGTTTTAGACTGGCTTCTTTCATTGCTTCGTTTGCTTGTTGACAAGCAATCATTATTTTATTTCTCAGATCTGTTACTGATTCATAAGCTGATTTTTCTGTATCAGTTTCTGTTTTTCCTGTGATAAGCTTATTATATAGCTGCAATGGTCCTCTAGGATTTGCCCCATATACAAGTTCAAATGGCGAAAAACCTGTTGAGCTATGAGGAATTTCTCTATATGCAAACATAATGGCAGGTAATAAAGTATCCCAAGACTGCGGATGTTCAAATGATATTCTGGCAAGCATTGTTTTTATGGATTTATTTAGATTTTCAACCAAGCCATTCGCTTGTGCGTGATACGGTGTTGTAAAATTTTGTTTAATTCCTAACCAGTTATTAAAAGCTTTTGTAGCCCAAGATGTAAACTGAGTACCTTTATCAGAAATAATCACTTCTGGAAAACCCACCCTTGAAAAAATTGTTAGCAATGCCTCCTGAATATCATTTGATGTTATAAATTTCAGAGGTACACACTCAGGCCATTTTGTGGCAACATCAATAAAAGTTAAAATAAACCTGTTTCCCTTTGCTGACGTCACTGGTAATGGGCCAACAATATCAATTGCAACTTGTTCAAATGGTCTTGATGCTATCAGACCTATTTGCACTGGAGCCTTTGGGTTCTCTCCTTTTTTTGTGGTTTTAGCACAGGTATCACAAGATCTAACATAATTTTTTACATCTTTAGAAAACCCAGGCCAATAAAATGTAGATAGAATCCTCTTCTTTGTTTTTGTTATTCCCATGTGCCCCGAGAAGATGGAATCATGTGCTAAAGATAGGGCTTTTGGTCTGAATTTTTGTGGTAGTACCGTCTGTTTATAGACTTTTGGACCTTTCTGATATATTCTAAGTAGTACATTCTTTGATACAATAAATTTCCATGTTGCAAATTTCTTTACTACTGGGTCTGTATGAACCAAATCAAAACATTTCTTTAGTGATGGATCAGATACTTGGGCATCTTGAAATTCTCTTTGGCTGTTAATATTTTCTTTTGTAATGGGTACCAGTTCTGTAGTTAAGTTCTCTTCTCTTAACTTTTGTTGTATGGTATCAGTCATGCTTCTGGTTACTGCAGCAGCTAGTTGGGGAGCACTTGGGTCAGACAATTGTATCAAATCAGTTTTACATGATTGAAAATTATAATTTTCACATAATTTAACACTGGATGAAACTTTTAGGTTTGATGGGTTATTTACTTTCTCACTGTTCATCATTTCTCTTTCATTCAGTACGATTGGTGTCTCTTTAACACCTAATATCTTTTTCTCATCTTTTGCATTCTTTACTTCTTTCATACCGATATTCTCAAATTTTTCATGACCAATCAACTGTTCCCTGTTTTGGACACAATCACTTTCATTCATTTGTACTACTGCATTCACACTATGGCAAAAATCTTGATCACTGGTATTCAGTTTCTCTCTTTCTTTCAATTCCTTGATATTTTCTCTTTCCCACTGAAAAATTTCCTGTTCAGACATTTCTCTCAGACCTTTTTCATTCCCCAAAATTAAACCCTGCACATGGTGCTGATAAAACGGCTACTTTCAATCTGCCTTGAAAAAATGGTGTTTTAACATTAACAAATGCAAGTTTAT